GGCTCGTCCCGTATCGTGTTGGAGAGGGTGCGCCACCTTGCTGGCCTACTCTCTCGCACTCCTCCGCGCGTCTCCCCGATTTCGGGGGAACAGCGACATCGCGCGAGTGAGAGTGGGGCCTGCCCTCCGAGTGGACGGCGGTGTGGTCGGGGAGTCCTGGATCGGACTCCGGGCAACGGGTCGAGTCGCGGCGCGAGCATCGTCCGACCGGCGATGACTCCACGCTAGTGATTCCCCGGGCTCTGACAGTCGGTGTCCCCACAACCTGTGGACGTCCGTCTGCCGAGAGCCCTGGCCCCGAACTCCTGCGACGACGGGTAGCGGCGTGAGCTCGTCCGACCGGCGATGACTCCGCTCGCCATTACCCCTTTGGCTCTCAGGTCGGCGGGCGATGCGGGCACACTGTGCGCGCGGCGGCTCGCTTGACCGCAGTGTCTTGTTGGGGACCCCTGGTACTCAATAAACGCTGTTGGATACCGGGATCATCGTTGTTGGCATGGCGTTGGCCGAACCCGGCGCGGCGACCGCCCTCGCTGGTAGCCGTCGGCCGCGCGGTGGGACGGGTAGCGGATTTCCCCTTTGAGCACCGGACCGATCTCCGGACGTGAAAGGTGCGTAATCTTCCTTCCTTACGTAATTGCCACAAAATGGCGCCCAACGTGGGGCCACGGCACCTATCGTTGTCGTGACACTGCTCCGCCGCGACATGCCAAGATGGCGGAGCCTCCCTTGGGGAGGCCGGCTCCCTTTGTGAGCCGCCATGTTGCGAATCCCGTGGGTGCCCGGATTTGGTAACCACATTCAAGAGCCAGCCCAGAAACCTGAGTGAGTCACGATTTGTTCATTCTTTTTTCGTGTCTTGCCGCAGGAGACGTTTTATCGTACCTGTCGCCTCTGGTGATGGGCCTCGCTAGCAACAGTCCCCCTTTGCCTGACAGTTGCCGACTCCGCTGCCAACCCCTACCTAGTTAGAGGGTCGTCACCTCTGGCGGCGTCCTCAGAGCCTCCGTGCCACGGAAATCGCGTTGCATTGACCCCCGTGGGCCTAGCGACGAATGTTGTTAGCAGCAAAGAGCTTCTCACGGGTCAGCGGGACAATCTGGGTTTGTAAATACGCGCGTTTCTTTGACACTGAGTTGTAAGACTCTCCGGGAGAGTCGGGCGGTGCGTCTGCCATTAACGTCGCCAAGTAGCTCGTAATGCTACCGACGGGCTCCGGGAGCCGTAGGCCACGCATCCGCCGGCGTCCAGAAGCAGTTCTCACACTGTGGACGCGCGCGCTGTATGCCACTTGTATTGTGGTTGGCGCGAGGGTTTTCTTCGGGATAGATTGGTTTTGCTGACACCTTTGAGCTTCTGCTGATTTCCGAGAGTAATGGCTTTGCGTTATAAGAATGGCACAACGCACTAAAGACGGGGCGGCTTTTTAGCTACCCCGTTCCGTGCGCTTCGCTAGGGATGCGTGCAGCTCGAAGACTCTACGGAGTTAGTTGTTTTCGCAGTCCCCGGCCCGGCTCCTGGTGCAGCCACCGCTGGCAGCGGGGAGTCGCCGGCTCAGTTCCCGGCGACTTCAGTTTGCGTACGCAGGGTGCCCTCTAATTCTGTTAGTAGCACCGCGTGGCCTGCCTTCCAACTTGAGCCTCCCACCCTGCGGTAGGCCGGTTAAGGTACGCAGGCAGCCGAGTCCAGATACAATGAGGACCCGGCCAAAACCTGTTTTTGGGGACCATTGCCTCCCCTCGGTGTCAGAGTGTCGACCGAGAACAATGATCTCTCCCTTCGACCTTGCCATACTGCGGGTCTGGAGAGGGCGAAGAGATATTTGCGGGGTGCTGCGTGGGCTCTTCTTTCCGTCATTCAGGAAGATGCTCGTGCCCCCCCCCCCCCTCTTCCCTGCCATCCCCCACTACGTGCGACGGCGGGGGACACGCCGAGAGGCTGGGCGGGACCTGCCGGATGTGCGTCATTGCTGACGCTGCCGGGAGTTTGCGAACCCGACGGCGGCCGGGAGCAGCAGACAGGGAGGGCTGACTTCCGGCCGGGGCAAGATGGCCGCTGTCGTCCTTCTGTCGTCGGACAGCCGGACCCCACCGAGGCGCCCAGCTGAACCAGGCTTCCTGATGCGGGCCTGGTCACGGACGTCACCTGCTGCCGGCCCCAAGGTGCGCCTTCGAGTTTGGTGGCCAGCGTTCCCCTTGCCGCTGGTCTCCCGCACCCACCTTGAGAGTGACCATGGGCGGACTTCTACGCGCGTCACCGTGTTCGTTTCGACGGAGGTTTGCCCACGACGAGTCGACGACGTGCAGCGTAGGCCGAGCAGCACCGCTGAGCAGCACCACCGAGCATCAACGTTCCCAGTGAGTGGTGCTCCGTGTTGCGGAAGAACTGATCTTTCGGCATCGAGGAATTTTGCACGGCTTCATTCAACGGCATCCGCCCCACCAGTGCGTCGTGAACTCCGGTATGTTGAACATTTACGGCAGCAGTTCCGGGGGCTACCAAGGCCCCCGTTTTTTATTTGTAAGCGCGACTGGCACCCGTGCTGTCAGCACGCAGGTCTTGTATTTTGGGGGTTTGAGAGCCGGCGCCCGTTTCTCTGAAAGGGGTGCCAAATGTTTTAAGGAGGGGGGGATTGTGGGAGCCACTGGTTTCCCTCCCCCGAGAAGGCGTAAGCCGCGGACGTGGCGGCCGGAGTTGCCTGGCTTCGAGCTGGCTCGTCCCGTATCGTGTTGGAGAGGGTGCACCACCTTGCTGGCCTACTCTCTCGCACTCCTCCGCGCGTCTCCCCGATTTCGGGGGAACAGCGACATCGCGCGAGGGAGAGTCGGGCCTGCCCTCCGAGTGGACGGCCGTGTGGTCGAGGAGTCCTCGATTGGACTCCGGGCAGCGGGTCGAGTCGCGGCGCGAGCATCGTCCGACCGGCGATGACTCCACGCTAGTGATTCCCCTGGCTCTGACAGTCGGCGTCCGCACAACCTGTGGACGTCCCGTCTGCCGAGGGCCCTGGCCCCGAACTCCTGCGACGACGGGTAGCGGCGTGAGCTCGCCCGACCGGCGATGACTCCGCTCGCAATTACCCCTTTGGCTCTCAGGTCGGCGGGCGATGCGGGCACACTGTGCCCGCGGCGGCTCGCTTGACCGCAGTGTCTTGTTGGGGACCCCAGGTTCTCAATAAACGCTGTTTGATACCGGGATCATCGTTGTTGGCATGGCGTTGGCCGAACCCGGCGCGGCGACCGCCCTCGCTGGTAGCCGTCGTCCGCGCGGTGGGACGGGCATTGGATTTCCCCTTTGACCGGACAGGTCCCCGGCTGTAAAGGTGCGTGATCTACCCTCCTTTTTAAACCCCACAAGCTTAATATCGTAGATGGTTAAATTTTAATTTTGTAATGTGTAGATGTATTGAACATCCTCAAAGGTTTCTTTTAATACTTAATCTAACATTTATTTCTGCGTTTTCTACACCAGGTGCGTAGGAAACAACAGGCAGTTTGCAAACATGTGAGCGTTTCCTTCACCAGGTGTGCACAGCGCGCGTGCGCAGAAACAAGATTCCAGCGAAGCGAATCTTTTGCCCATGCGTCTTTCCGACAGCAGCGCCGCCACCGCAGCGGTGTAAAGTCAGAGCCGCGTGTTTATGTATTTTTTTTTTTGACATTCTGAAACCTGCTCACGTCCGTACAGTGTGCATATCTTTGCAATTCAAGACGACGGTATCGCACTCCAGACTCATTCGCCAAAGGAGATATTTTTCAGTCGTCATTCAGTACGCCCTCCGCGTACTGAATAACGGGACCCGATGCAACACAACAGTACCTTCGACTTCCGTTGAAAGAACGGAAAGTACATTAAGTATTAAAAACACTTGGTTCATTTGATTTACCGGCACCAGCCTGCACTTGTGCAGAAAAGTGGAGCGCGGCGCAGAAAAGCGCAGAACAATGCAGTTTCGATTGTGTTTTGGGACAGACTGCACTCGTAATTCCCGAGTCTTAGTAGAGCGACAAACAGAAACAAACGACAGCGACAAGCTTCAAACCAGAGTCTTTTGTAATTCGACAGGTTTTGTAGAAAAAAGAGGCTATGCTCAAGCACGAGCATCATACACGCAGGGGTATCTTGTGCAGGCTTGCAATCACTCGTGTTTGCTTAACGAACACCGAACGATTAAACGCCTGCTAAAGGTACCATCGGAGCATGCTGCATGTGTTTGACGCTTGTCGCTGTCGTTCGTTTGTGTTTGTCTCTCAAGCGGTACTCGGGCATAAGTAGAATACGGCGGTGTGCACCGGTGGAATTGGTGCAGGGGGTTGTGAATGGCTTTCATTTTTCTTTGGTAAAACAACATATGGTTTTGATCAGAAACTTGGTAAGGGTCCTCGAAAGCCGCTAATTCGGAAAGCTTTAGAAACATTTAGAGAGCACGAGAAGCGCAATGATGCACCAAAGTTTCCACTCGTGCGACAGACTCAAGGCTGCTTTTGCGAGAACGCAGATGATATGCGGTGGTGTTATCATCCCAGTTTTCGCACCTCCAGCTTCGCACCTATTGCACCAATGGTAACTTTAGGCCGCCTGTACCGCTCTTCCCACGCACTCCAAATCTTTCTATAATTGACTGATGAGTCGTGTTCGATGACGCTCAGCAAGTTTCTAATTAAAATCATAAGTTCATTTTCACTAATTAAGTGCAGTATTGCAATTTAGTTAATTGTGCAACTTACTGTAACAATTAGTCCCCGATTTTAACCCCCTCTGGCCGTTTAACTCATCTGCACAAACGTCATTAGAGTACCTTTCACGGATATTTATTCGGCGACAAATCCGACAAGCCTAAAAAAAGAAAAGAAAAAATATTGTACATGCGAATTTTTATTTTAAAAATATAGTTCGCACTGCAACTTTTCTTGCATAGCCTTTCATCGCGGGATAAGTTGGGGAAATTTGGTATTGTGGATGAAGACGTCGCGGCTCTGAGAAAATTCGAACTTTCTTGGCAGAAATCCAGCATCCATGAAGGTCGCACTTGACATGTTGCTTCATGTCTACGGCGCGCCCATCCTGAAGGACTCCAAGATGGTCGGAGCCAGAAAAGCAGCATTATGCCTCGTGCACGTCGATCGCCTTTTCCCGATGGGCCTGGCTGTCCTGATGAAGAAGGACCTCGAAGCGAAGTTCAAGAAGCCGGACGGAGTTATCACCGATGCCAAGTCGTCGGTGAGTTCCTCTTGTGATATCGAGGGAACACACTGACACGCTGGCGTCATCAATGAGGTGGCCGCGGAACTGCATCTTACTGGAGCGTTATGTAGACTAGGTACCTTTTACAAATGTGCGTATTATATATAAGAAATAGTCGTTTATAATAGGGTGAAAAAATTATTCAGATCAATAATTACAAAAAAAAACATTGCGCAAAAAAAAGAGGAAAGAAATCGTGGATGTTCCACGTTTACGCGAAGCGATTATATCGCACTCGGTCGTAAGCAGTCGCAAGTTCGTGAAGTCCTGTTTTTTTTATTAATTGTACTTAGTAACAAGTCCCGTTTTCTTAGTAAGTGTTATCTCTTGACTTACCCTACCGAAGCGAATATTTTAATTGAGACGGAAACAATTATCGCTCTCCCCTGTATCCTCACAGATGCAGCCTGAGATAATGCTTCTATTCAGATTATTTTATGACGCGGGGCTTTAAGACACCGAAGCTGTCAGCTTAAAAGCAATGTCCATAGAGATGTACTAGTTGTGAAGCCCGGTTGTTTGGCCCGCATAAATAAACTACGCGTTGGAAAAAGCTGACATTTCCTCAGAATGCAAGGCCATACTTAATAGCAAAAAAAAGGACTGTATGTTTTTTTGTTTTGTTTTTCTGTTTTATGTTTTTTTTTTTTTTTTTTTTTTGTGAGCCGACTTTTATTTAATGTTGCTAAAACAAGCAGTAACAGCGTGGGTGCCCTTTGCCTGCATTTCGGTAAAGCCAACTGATCGGCAGACAAATTATATTTTTTCTCCTTTCTTGCTGAGATGTATAATTCCTGGAAATACAAAAACTCTGTGGGGAAAAAAATGTTCAGGCTGAACATATTTCTTTTAAAGAACTCCGCGACGTTTTCAGCGTGTCTTGAGCTTTTATATTTGTATTAAAAAGCTGATATATTGTTTTTTGCAACGTCTGTTAATTTAAGTTCCGATGACTATCTTATTGTATGCGGATCAAACGTTTTCCGTCCACGTGATGGCGTCTTGTTGTATTGTCCTTATTTGTTTTTATATATTTTATGTCTACATGTAGGTTGTTTCCTTTGACAGCATGTGCTTAACATTATGCATTCTTTTTGTTACCAATACCGTGCCAATTTGTGTTTATTTGTTTATTATGTGAGTCATTCATGGTGTCAATCTTACAGTATATGTTGGCCTTAGGTTTTTTCTAGCTGCCAATGCCACGGCTTTGTTTCTCTAGGCCTCCGACGTATGTATGTTTTTTATGCAAACTTCATTACTAGATCCCACATACACCTACAATGTCTTTTTGTTGTTTGGCAAAATTAGGCTCAGACAGACGTCGGCCCACGGAAAAAGTTCACCTTGCCTTTTTATCATTTCATCCAGGTAACGCTATTACCTAGAGCTGTGGCATCCTATGCCCACAGCTAGCTTAATATTCTGACAGAAATTCAGGTTTTTGTAGTGCGTAGTTCAATTCTACCCGCCGAAAAAACCGGGTTTTATTTTCGTTTCGATCCAAGAAGGTGCAATGGAAATCAATGATTTGAAGAAAAAAAACGGCTTTGTTAAGCATGGTTTTTTTTAACTTCATCAAATACAATAGGAAGGTCTTCTGTAGATCCCGGTGAGATAAATATCATTTGGCAAGACACCTGTGTTCCTCTAGTCGCGACGCGCGAATAGTGTGCCACAGTCAAGAACAGCGCCTCACATGCTAAACTACCCAGGCAGCACACGATATTGGGCCAACATTGGAATTGATGGGACAAAGAATGGCCCAACAATGGCCCAACTGAGCCATGTGTTTACCAATATTGGAATTACCTGGGCCAATAATGGACTATCATAGCCAATGTTTTTCCAATATTGGTGATGCACTGGAATAAGCTGTCCAATATTGGACTGTGAAAGCCAATGGCTTGCCAATATTGGATAAATGCTGGCATAACCTGTCCAATATTGGACTGTCAAAGCCAATGGTTTTCCAATATTGGATATATGCTGGCATAAGTTATCCAATATTGGACTGCCAAAGCCAATGGCTTTCCAATATTGGATATATACTGGCATAACCTGTCCAATATTGGACTGTCAAACTCAATTGTTTTCCAATATTTGATATATGCCGGCATAAGTTTCCAATATTGGACTGTCAAAGCCGATAGGTTTCCGATATTGGATATATGCTGGCATAAACTGTACAATATTGGACTGTCGGAGCCAATGGCTTTCCAATACTGAATACATGCCAGCATTAGCTGTCCAATATTGAACTGTCAAAGCCAATAGCTTTCCTATATTGGATATACGCCGGCATAACCTGTACAATACTCGGCTGTCAGAGCCAATGGTTTTCCGATATTGAATATACGTTGGCTTAAGCTGGTTAATATTAAACTGTCAAAGCCAAGAGTTTTCTAATATTGGTGATGTCTTGGTATAGGCTGGTCAATATTGGTACTGCCATAACCAATGGCTTATCGATATTTACGTCGCCTAGGCTATAGACCCGCGAACCTCTTTTTTTGCATTGCAGAAATAGGAAATTGGAAAAGAGTCATTCATGAGCTCGCTCGGGCGAGAATTTTATTTAGCCAACTTCATCGGGCGTACGTCGCCGGCGCTTTATAACCCCGATCACAAATACGTCCTTAGCTGCCTATAGGACTATTGCAGTTTTTTTGCCGGCTGCTCTCCATTCGCATTGCCTTACCTCGGCGTTGACAACTTAACTCCGTTTTTTTAGATTTAAGTATTTTTGTCTTTTCCAATATATTTTTTATATATACGTAGCGTTAACGTCTTCTCTTTGTCCGTGCCCCTGTCATGTTTGTATTTCTTTCTGCGTGCTCTATTTTTTATATTTAATGATTCTGTGCATATTTAGTCATTGTCGACGCAGGTGTCAACAAACATAAAGCCGCCGCTTACGCCGCAACCGAAGTGACTCTCAGTTTTACGAGAGTATATCGCGATATAAAGTCATATATTAAACTCAAGTGAAGTCTCGAGAGGGTTGCTTCGACAGCCAGTGCACATGTCATCAGGGTAGGCAGAGCAACGACGTAGCTATCGCGACGCGAGAGCACACTGCGCCTCGATCTGGCCGGCAGCGCTCGCTCTGCGGAAATGTGAGCGTGGGACTCTCGAGCCCCGTTAGCTTACTGAAGCTGCTAGACCCTACTTCGTTGTCGCGAATCATTTGCCCTTCGAACGGTCGCGAAGCCGTTGCGCTCGGAGTACCCTACCCAGCATCTTTCAGAAACCGTTCGCGCAGCATCGCAACCTTCTGTCGGCGAGCGTGGGCGATTCATCGTGTGCTGCAATTCGGACGATGTGCTGTTCGGGCTGTCTTTTATGTGTAACTCTTTCGTAAAACAATTTGAAGTTTAAAAACGCGAACCTAACAGCGTACAAACAGTTTTAAATTTATTGATAAAAAATATATTTATATACTTATAGACATATTTGTGTACATCGAGCGCAAAAAATAGTCGCGCTTAGTTCTTCATTACATTATATTATATATTTATATATTATTATATTTACGTTATACGACGTAAAACATACTGTCTTCAAACTTGCCCCGTTTCGAACCACTTTTGGGCTGGAGAGCTTCTTTAGAAGTTCAAAAGCTGACCTTCAAAGAGCTGTCCTGTTAAATCGGTATTGACAGCAGGGTAGACGCTATGCGTGTTTAAGGCCAATCGTGTCTCCGGTTAGGGTCACTTGACTACGGTCTCGAAGCTGGTGATAAGGCAGAGCACGGAACCTGCCTAAAGCCCAAGGTCACGCATAACATCTACTGCACTATCAACCTTGGGTAGAAGTGACAAATTCTCTCGCTGCGTTCATTGTTGAGATGCCCCTGAAGATTAGCCTTTTGTAAGCGCACCCCACCCCCGTTCTGGCCTGCTTGCTTTGTCCTCCTTCTCTTTTTTTCTCTCTCCCTAAGCTGAAGGCGCGGTAGACGGTCCGTACTCGCCGGACCAATGAACCGTACACGTTTTATCGCTTGAGTTCGCTCTCTGTGCGCGGGTAACAGCAGAAGCGTGATCACGTGGTTTGACGGATGACGCATTAGCCGTTGAAAAACTCGGAATGCCTGCGTCGCGAAGACCGGACCTAGTTTCGCGTGTGATGCGGCCTGCGGGCTGCGGGCCCGCTGTGGATTTCCCTTCTGTGGTAAATGGTATCTCGTTCGAAAAGTCCCACCCGTGTCGATTTCTTCATAGAAGCCCAAGACATTCTTGTGAATCGTTTAGTGTTCGGTTCGGCAAATGGCAGCGTGTGCTACATCGTGTTGAATCTTCACGGATCACTTCCTTCTGGTTTTTGTGTTTGAGTGGTTTTTCTGCAGTGCCCGTGTTTACATATATGTCGGATTACATCTTTCAAGTCCGGTATTTTCAAAGTAAGTGCGCTGCAACCTTCTTGGTGATCATTGTCCGCTCTTGTATGGGTAATCTTCCGGATAACCTCTAGAATTGGGCAGGGCCTATCTCCTGGCAGCCGGGAGAATAAGTTTCCCGCAATCTTACCGACAGTCGCCTGCCATTATCTGTCTGAAATAATGTCACAACTGCAGGTAGAATGCTGACTTTTTTATTCTCCGTGCGTTTCGCGAAAACACGTTTCGTGGCCACCTTTTCGTCGACATTTTTGTTTCATCGACATGCGTTACGCGAATTGCGCGCTGTAGGGGCGTTTCGTCGTGCGTGTATTCCTGAGGCGCAACGTTTCCTTGACATGCGTTACGCGAATTGCACGCTGTAGGGGCATTTCAACGCAAGTGTATTCCTGAGGCGCGTGCTCACCGAACCAGCCCACCCTTTCACGCCGCTTCATGCCAAGTCTGAAGCGGTTCATTGCAAAAAAAAGAAAAGAGGGAAAAAGACGTATTTGGAGTTTTTTTTTATGAAACATCGCGTGTTGATGAAACGATCTGTCTATGAAATGTCGTTTGATGAACTGATTGCACCGCCAAT